AACACCACAACATTCCACTGTTTGAGGGCCTGTTTCAGTGCTTTAAACTTCATAAGACATTTAAACCCTGCCCATCCATCCACAGCAGATTCCGACCAGCTTTGTTGAACACAAGATAAAAATTTGGGATGTAGAAGCCAGGCATTGAGGAACCTAAAAGGCTTCGGGCCCCAATCCCTATCATCCTCCATCAAAATAATAGGGCAATGATCGGACAGAAATCTAGGAAGCCCCCATAGTTTGAAGGAAAAATTCTGCACCCACTCATAATTGAGAAGAAATCGATCAATTCTGCTCCATTTCTCTCTAACTTGAGAATTGCACCAAGTAAACTTCCTCCCTAACATAGGAATGTCTATCAACTCGAGTTGTGCAATCATATTATTAAAGTCCCTCATCCCACGATCCCTTCTCGAACACCCAATTCTTTTGGAGATGTTCTTAATTTCATTGAAGTCACCCCCCATACACCATGGCCCCAAGAAATTGGATTTCAACCTCACTAACCCATCCCAAGTCTCTTTTCTTTTAGCCACCTCGTTAGAACCATAAACGTTAATAATTACACAATCAAAACTGGAAAATAATGTACCTGATAAAAGGATGAAATTCTGGGTACTACAACAATCCTTCAGGAAAAACACCTCAGGGTTCCAAATACATAGAAGCCCTCCAGCTTGACCAATCGCGTCTACTGCCATGAAATCAAATTGATCCCCAGGCCACATAGACCTAACCAAGGTAGAATCAACTATTGCCTTCTTGGTTTCTTGTAATAGTACAATATCCACTTTTCTCTCTGCAAGACTCTTCTTTATTTGTCTTCTCTTTTCAGGCCTTCCAATTCCCCTCACATTCCATGATAGTAACTTCATAAGCATATGAAAACCCTCTACCCAGCCGATCGTTTTAATCTAACTCGCATCCCCTTCACCCGGCCTTGCTCTTTGTTGGTCTTGAGCTTCAAGATCTTGCAATTTACTAAGCACCTCCTCTTCTTTGCCTTCACACTCAAGACCGAGGGCTTTGCCTATTTGAATTGAAGCTTCCGCCTCCGTCAATAATTTTCTTCCACTACTATTTCCGCTTGCCATTGATAGTGAGATGGCCGCTACCGCCGACCTGAACACTGCTCCTTTCCTCAAATTTAATGAAGATGCCCCCAACCCCGTGGAAATATCAAATTTCCTTTTCATTTGCTGTTTCTGAAACTGTTTTGTTGAAGCTGGAAGTGCTTTTCCTTTCATTTTTTCCTTCTTTGCTGGACAGACGGGTGCTGTTGCATTATGGGCTAAAGAACTCTTAGAACCAACAGCATTACGGTTAACACACTGCTCAAGCCCTTCAGGAGAAGTAATTGGGTCTTGGAAGTTAGGCTTGCCAAGGTGAACTAGCCCCTCAGTTCTTTGGGCCGGCCCAACCAACCCACCTGCCATTTGGGCCCCATCAAGAGCCACTTCAAGGTGAATACCCACCCTATTATTTCCAGACCCACTTAAACTTCTAATGAACCCAGGAGTATATACGTCACCATCTACCCTACGCCTGACACTGTCATCGCACTGCTTGCAGCTCATCCCTACCTCTACTAATTGATTTACGCGTGCGCCAAGGTGAACTAGCCTCTCAGATATTTGGGTCGGCCCAACCAAACCACCTGCCATTTGGGCCCCATCAAGAGCCACTTCAAGGTGAATACCCACCCTATTATTTCCAGACCCACTTAAACTTCTAATGAACCCAGGAGTATATACGTCACCATCTACCCTACACCTGACACTATCATCGCACTGCTTGCAGCTCATCCCTACCTCTACCAATTGATTTACGCGTGCGCCACCTTCCGTTGACATTTCCTTCATCATATCAGTTTCAGCTACCCCCGAGACATCTCTCAGTCTATCCTCCCCGTCCAGTTCAGCTGCAAGAATAGGTGATACACTAGTTCCCACTCCCGTCACATCATCCCGTAAATCTGACTTCTTGCCCAGCTGGACCTCCACATCACCCCGTAGTTCTGACTGCTTGTCCATCTGGACCTCCACATCATCATCTTCTTCCTCATACCTGCTGCTTTTGTCCATGATCTGGGCCTCTGCACTTGCCTCTGAAAATGACCCCACTCCATTCTTTCATTTATTGGATTGGCATACACATTGATCCTGCAAAGTTTTATAAGCTATAATTTGTTCCTCACACACCCGCACAGGATATAGTGTACCTTTGCACTCCAGATTAATGGTGTGATTAATAGAATCCATACGAGTCGTGGCTATCCTCACTTTACCACAGTGGAGGGAGTTGAGCCGAATAGTATCATCATCTATAGCATCCACTGTACCCCAGATCTTGCCAATGCTGCTAAATGTAGAGAAACTCCACAGATTTAGTGGAACTCCATAACAACTTAGCCAAACATGTCGTTCTTGTTCGAGCACCAGCCCCTGCCGCCATACCTGAGCTGATTCACACCATGCGTTAAGCCACTCTTGCATTTCCTGAAATTTGACGTTCATATCTTCAACTGAGGTGAAGGTTAGAACCATATCTCTTCCCCCACCCAGTCTCACCTTAACATCCCCAAAGCCTTGCCTTACTATTTCCTCCTTAAACTCAACCACTGATAAGGATGGTTTTAATCTTACTACTACGCTTTCGTACAACCAACCATTACCTTCCTCAACGACATGAATAGTTCGGATAGTAGCAGTTTGGATACCTCTTCCTCTCACAACCTCAGCAAAGGACCTGGTCCTTTGATATCCAGCAGTAACCATGAGACTGTCATTTGTAGCCATTCTTGTCTGTGGTACTTGTCTCGACCTGGGCTTCGGACTAACCACCTTTTCAAACCCCGCCATTTTGACCTTCAATGCTCTGTCATCACACCAAAGCCCATGTGCTTTTTGTACTGCCATGTCCGCTGCTACAGAGCAATTGTAGCGTACAAAGCCAAAACGAGATCGTGTCATCTTTCTTCGCTTGTTTGGAATAAAAGCATCCATGACTACCTCATAGTTGGAGAAGATATTGTATAACCCTCTAGTCCCCATAGCTTCTGGAATATTATCCACAAAAACAGAGTATATGGCTGCATCTGCCCTGCTACTCCACACTCCCCTGCCACCATGACGACGGACCACTGGTTGCCATCCACCTCCATCATTCCCATAACCATGCTGTTTGCCTTCTCGGGACATTTTCTTTGTTTTTAAATTTGAGCTTTATTGATGATAAAAACAACAAGGATTACAAAATACATCAACAAAGCAGGAAAACAAAGCAACAAAGCTAGACAAGATTGGTGAGCTACTAATCAAAACAACCAACAAAAACCAGCAGACAGTAGGAAATAAGATCAAACTGCAGCAATGTAACAGAGCAACCAAACAGCAGCAATGAAGCAGAGGAACCTCCAGGACTGAAACAAAGTTGAAACACCTCCAGGTCTGGAACAGAGTTGAAACTCAGCAACTCAGATCAAACTGCAGCAATTCAACTACTCAGAATCCCTGCACAGATTCCCCAACACAGAGTCCAACCCACATATGCTGCTACAACACACCAGAAGATAGTAGAATATAAGCCAAAGCACTACTGCTGCTGCAAAAACACCCAACCCCGACCACCTAAACAAACTCGAATCTGGCTGATATTATAAAGAAAATCATTAATGGAGAAAATCATTATAAAGAAACTCATTAATGGAAAAACATTTCTCTATCTGTTAATTACCTGAATTGTCTCATATTATTGAATAGAGAATGTTATCGATCTTTTTGTCATCGTTTTGTATTAGGACTAAGATTTTCTCGCTTGGACCATGTTGTTTGAACTCATAGGATTCATCATGTGTCTCATTACAATAATCCAAATCGTTTATTTTTTAAATCAAACATGTAAATCACCCATATAAAAAGTTCAAATCGATTCATTAATCTTATGCATGTTAGTTTATAACATTTATTTACATAAAAACATGGCTACAATCATGAAATCGATTTAATTTTTTTTTTTATTTTTTATTTTTTATAAATAATTTTCACATGATCTAAAAATTAAATAATTCAAATTATTGATATGAGACGCCCAAAGTAAAACTCACGGTCGCAAATAAGATGTTCTAGTTCACAAAGTGTACGGGACAAAATCTGCTTCCTTCATGTTATTTCTTACTTGAAAACTTGTGATTAATTTCTTTATTTATTAATAATTATTAAAACATTAAATAATATTTTATCATGTAATATGATGATACAAAATAACAAAAATACAAGCATATATAACACTTCTCTATTAACCCTCTATTACACTACAAAAAATGCCATTTTTGGCTACCAAAATATTGGTTGCCAAAAGTCCAATATTTAGTAGCTGAAACGATTTAGCGACTAAAATATTTTGCGGCAAGCTTGTCGCCTTTACCCTATCGGCGATGGTATTGGCGACTAAATTTTGTTTGGTCGCCGAAAAGTGACTACATTTGGCTACTAATATTAGTTTAGTCGGCAAATGTTATGTTTCCGCCACTAAAACCTTTAGTCGCCGAATGAGGCTTTTTGGCTACTAAGTTGTTGTGGTCGGGGAAGGTGTCACCTTCAGCTACTAAATAATTAGTCGCCGAAAGTACACATTTGGCTACGAAACTGTATTTAGTCGGCAAAAGGTGCATTCGGCGACTAAAGTGTTAGTCACTAAAAGTGCATTGGGTTATGTTTTTGCTACTAAATTCTTAGTCACCAAAACATTTGATTACGTATTTAGCTATCAAAATATTTGGTGGCCAAATACTTTAACGTGTTTTTTTAAAAAAAATTTCTTCTTTTAAACAACCTGTATCCATTATTAATACAACCTGTATAAACAATATAATCCATCAACGCTAAATATGTTATCAAACATTCAACAACGTGCACACATTTTAGTTCCAACCATCCAAAAAATTAATATGGAACGTCCAATTATATATATATATATATATATTACAAATTTCATAAGAACCAAGACTAATCCAACGTCAATAATTTAATTTCATACATAATATAGGAAAAACCAACTACTCCCATTACACATTTTAGTTCTAACCATCCAAAAATAAATACTAATAAGCATAAGATGTCGTCCTGGCATCACTATAAGCTCCCATTGTTCTAGTCCTTCCATAAAACCCTTCGATTGGAAGGGGCCAACTACTCCCACTCGCCCATCCCCTTCGTCCACTGCTGCTGGCACCTGCAGAACCATTGCATGAATGTGAAATCAAGTGCATGTCTAATAAAAATATAGAAAGGCATATTCATAGTGTCCTCGATCCAATTACACAATGTAAAATTACTGCATAGGAAAAAAAATAAAAGACGTGCTTACCTGCAGTACCATGGAAGTTGAACCCACCATCTCAACCAGGCAATTGGACTTGTGTTCAGATTCTTGCATCTCCAGAGCCTGAAGAGACCTTCAGCAATTGAGTTAGGAAACAAATGTAGTAAATAAAAAAGAAAACTCATCAATATTAAGTAATGAAAGTCATTACTATTCATTTATTCCAATATAGAACATGCATATATGTTGTTATGAAAGAAGTGTTGTAAAGTATCAATGATGAGAAAGTGCTGATGTAAATAGAAACTTGTGAGAAACACTACTACAAAGTGGACTCCTAGATCATTACACTCTACAAAAAAAACACAAATCATCCACAAAAGAAAGTCAAATTAAAACAAGAAAAATTTATAACTTTTAAATAACCCAAAAATAAAAAAATTCATGAATAGATCAGAAGTATCATACTTTCTGCATTTCAGGCTTGGAAACAAAAGATTGGGCCACATTTTCCAAGTTGTCCTTCAAAACTTCAGTAACGACTTAGGCATGTCAAACACTTGTTCAGAATAATAATCAAAATACAAAATAAATTTACTTCTAGAAACTTATAAAAAAATTCTTATCACTAGAATCAATTCAGTTAGTTTCATATCCATTTAAGCAATACTTAGAAGGAAATAATCTTTGTCAGCCTCTATAGACAATTTTAGAACTCAACTCAGCGTAAGAAGTCCTTAGTCTCAACTAAAACCTGAGTTCCACAATGTTTTAGTAATCACATCTTAAGTTTGAGCATAAAAGAAAATTGTTACCGAATGAAAATGGTATAATAATCAATCAGTTACGGAAATCAACCTAGTGGCGAGGAGTTTGTGGTATTCGACTGCCTCTTCCTTGGCCTTTGCAATTCTCTTCTTCTATGCAATCTTAGCTCGCTTCCTCTGCAGAGTCAGTGGAAAACACAAGCAACACCCTGAGCAATATTTAAAGTAAAATAGACTTCAAGCAAGAAACTACCAATGGAAATATTCAATATCTAACTTTATAGTAGTTCGGAACCTAAACTTGAATATATACTACATCACTAACACATCATCAATGTGAACTAAGCATCTACTAGATGTCATCCCAAGTAGGCTAAGAATTTCTTATTTCAATACCTAACTTTACAGTAGCTATAATAACCACAGAAGTTGTCCCATTTCTAATTTCTTGGTCTTGAAGCTCAGCCAAATGGATGCTTTAATCTTCCACCTTTGCAACAGGATGCTCAACTTCTAACATCTTGAGTATTATAGCACCATCATTAGTAATTGTTACATCACCAATATCATCAACTAGAATTTGAAACACAAAATCAACAGATGAAGTGTTAGGGCATATGAAACCCTCTCAAATATTTTCTATGTTCCAAAATGTATGCCATGAACAGCTTATAGCTATGTCTAAGAACTTTACTAATGGGACATTTTTGTCATAAATTACCTTGATCAGCAAATTAAACAAATCTATAAGTTAGATGGGCACTTGTACATGTAATTATAATAGAAGTTGGTTCTAACAGGTAACAACCAGATCTAATTCCTTGGTAACTCAGCCTTCATATATTTCATTTCATCAATCTGACCCAAAAAAATAAAAACCTGAAAAATGTTACATTAATAACAAATTAATGGTCATGTGACTCCTAAAATTTCCATATTAACACAAGGGAATATACTCTTTACCAAAAGACCAAGTTACCCCACCTGCTAGTGAGTGGAGCGAGAGTGGGAGAGTGTCCTCATGTCCTTGATGAAAATATCTTGGAAGTGAGAGCACCTATGGAGCATTTAAATCAGTTTTATGCATTAACTATTACATAGAGCCATATTTAGAGCAAAATCAAGCTTCCATGATTCATATTTGCTTAATGCATATTTTGCATATACTTATAATAATAGAAAGAAAATTTTAAACAATACAAGAGGTAGCGCAATGGTAAGTGCCTTACATTTTGAACAAGTTAAAGGGGCTGCTAGTTCAATTCTCAATCCATTCACCGCACAGATAAATGTTTTAATTTTTATGTGTGTCTAACTCTCCTCAAGCCACCAAATAATAGGATGCTTGCAATTTTACATTTTGCACACACACACACACACACACACACACACACACACACACACACACATATATATATATAATAAATTATACAGATAGAGGCAGGGAACATTTATATAACTGCAAAAATGAACCGAGAAATAATTTGTTCCAAAAACATCACTAGCATGCTCAAATAACCACAGAACCACATCCAAATATTTAGTTCAAGTAATGATATCACCAAATTCAACACCTATTTTTAACAATTAATATATAAATGGGTAGCAAAACAACTTGCTTACCAAAGACGTTCCACCTTAGAAACATGGTCATAATAATAGACAAACAATGTATGACAAAAGGAAAGATTCATCAGTTTTAATTAAGGGGTTTGAGCAGGGACTACAGAACATCAAAAAGTGATCTTTTTTTATTAGAATTAAAAGTGATCTAACCACTCCAAAATACCACAATGACAACAACTTTGAAACAATAATCATGGCTACAGACTTCAAAGATCTGAAGAATGAGTACAGGTGGTAGCAGATCCAACTAAATAAAAGAAAAATAAAAAATCAACTTATATTGACTTTCATTATTTGATCCCCTTTACCACCTTAAAAAGCAAACTTGTCATGCAATCAATATAGAAAATTCAACCATTGATATTTGGTATAACATAAATCTACAAAACAGAGGCTCAGAAAGAGTAGATGATTTGTGACATGTCAATCATCTTATTCTAGATTTCGCAGAAAGAAAAGAACATAGATAAGACAAAAAATAGAACTAATTAGTCACTTTCGGACCAAGGCCAAAAACAAAGCATGTTGCTTGTATGATGTATACAATAAGTAATGACGAGGTAAACAAGCTGTCCTCAAAGACTTCCTCAAAAACAAGACCATAATTATCATACCATTGGTTAAAAAGTTGGAAACCAAATGAAAAGCTAGTGTCATAGTAGTAATGGCATTTGGGACTGCCCACGGGTGACTCAGTTGAGCAAATAAATTAGATCATTTAACAATTACATAGCAGTGTTTGGGTGGCCTGGTGTACTCTAATAAATAACCAAAGTTGTTATCCCACCAAATATAGTACATACACTTCACAGATTTTCCATTCATTGAACAACAAAACTACATCCTTTCTAATCACCAACCATGTCCAAAGTTAAAATAAAAATTTTAAGTAGTTACTCACATAGCTGCCACATATATCTCTATAGCTCCACATATGCACATAAATGACACGTGAGAGGGAAATTTATATGAAAAGTGGGCCGAGCTGGGTAATGGGCCGTTATGGACCACAATACGGAGGGCAGAGTAAAAAGGCCTTGAAGATTAGTTCGGTCCCAGAGCCTTGAAGTTAGTCCGGTTCCAGACGGCCCTAAAGTTAATCTGGACCCAGAGAACCTAGTGTTATCTCGGTCTGGGACAGTACTACGGGTAGCTCGGTCGCCAGGATGCCGCACACAGAGTTAGTCCGGTCACGGTATAGCGCAGCTAGCTCTATCGGACCTAGCTAATGGTTAGCATGGTCTAAGCAATACTACGGTCAACGCTGGGAAAACCGTGGTAGGAGCAGTGAATGGAAAAACCGAGGTAGAGTTATCTCGGTCTAGTCTGCGGCTTAGCATAGCCATGCTTACCTCGATCATGTTGGAGTCTGGCCATGGTAAAACCATCTCACTTGGTTTAAGCAGTGAGGGGGGTGCTGAAGGATAATCATTATCTTTCAGGAGTATGAATCCTAGGAGGACTCTACATGGAGGAGTAAGAGTCCTATTAGGATCGTGCCACGCGGAACCTATAAAAGCGAAACCTATAAAAGCTCACAAATATCACCTTTGGAGAGGTAACACACGACTTTGATACACAGCTTTTTGTCTTTGTCTATTTTGCTGACTTAGGCATCGGAGAGGTATCCGGCACACACCCGCCGGCTAGCTCACGTTTGTGTTTTCAGGGAGTAAAGCGACGACGTACGGAGGAACACAGGCTTGATCAATAGGATTATACGAGAAGGTTTATTTCTTTCTCGTACAATTGGCACCGTCTGAGGGAATTTCAGATAAGAACAAAACCTCTTGATCAAGCTTTTTCCTCTTTAGAATCAATGGCGCATAACAAAAATTTACTACAGTTCGCCATTGATGGACAAACACCAGAAGGAGGTGGGAGGCGCGAAGGTTTGCCTCCTGTCCCTCCCATGGCGGACTTGGAGCCCCAACAACATAAACCCAGGAGGGATGCTAGGGGGAGGCGGAATAATAGCCCCCGTCACTCTTATTCATAAAGTCCTGACAGACAAAAGCAGAGGATTGATCCTCAAGTTTTGGAGGACTGTGTAAAGGAGCAGGACGAATTAATACGACGGATGGCGGCGAACGTGGAGATTATGAAATGCCAGATGAAGGGAAAATGAGTGGCGACAGGAGAGGGGTGCAAAAGCAAGACGCCCCCTCGCCGCTCAGAAGATCGTGGAAGGCATTCCACACCATCACAAGCAGAGAGTAGAAGCCTCAGGACAGGCGATACTCAATCCAGAACCTCCAGAACTCGTTACTCCAGGTCTGAGAGAACGAGATCATTGAGGTCTTACACTGAGGGAAGTACCTATCGACCCTCGCGCTCGCACCAGACATCATCCAGGCAGACGGAGTTGCCAAGATCATCCGATTTGCGGATCATGCTGGAAGAAAAGGCACGATGGAAGGAGGATACTAGGGCGTGCAACCCTTGCAGGGTATCTGCCCTTCAGCGGTTGGCTCCTCGGACGCATGAAAGCGTCGAGGTTGGAATGCTGTTACCACGCCCTACCTACGAACCAACGGACAAAGCATTAGCAAGGCTACAGACCTCGCCGTTCGTTCCGACAATTGAAAACATGCTCCTACCTTTAGGCTTCCTTCAGCCCAAATTCACCATGCACGAGGGGAAGACGGACCCCTACATACACCTAAGCCACTTCCGCCAGGTTATGGCGGTATATCGGAGAAACGAGGCTTTGATGTGCATCCTCTTCCCATCAAGCCTTGGTGACCTAGGCTTGACTTGGTTCGAAAAACTTCAAGAAGGCAGCATAGCCTCCTGGGCGCAATTGGCGGAGGCGTTCGTCACAAGGTTTAGAACGAACACCAAAACCTCGGTGGAGATTGGCCAGTTACTCTCCATCGACATGGGCGAAAAAGAGACACTAAGATCCTATAATAGTCGCTACTGGGAGACATTCAACCAGATGGGGGACTGTCCCACCAATCTCACCATTACACAGTACGAAAGAGGCCTTCCAGTCGGGAACAGATTAAGAGACTCAATCACCATGACACCGCCCCTCACCATGGAGGCCTTGATGGAAAGAGAGCATCAGCACATCAGGGGGGAAGAGGATGACGCCCGTGCTAAAACAAAGTCTAGCACAACCGTAGTACCGGACAAAATGACCGCGGCAAAGGTCAACACGGTAGAGCGTCCAAACAGGCAGGCGAGACAACGGAGAGGACCAGGATAAAAGATGGTTGAGAGTCCGCATTGCCATAACCACGGTATTCAAGAAACCGATCTACCAGATTCTGAGCCTTTCGTCAGATGGCCAGCTAAGCTAGGAGAAGCACAGAAAGACTACGATGAAAGATCGTGATGCACCTTTCACAAAGAAAATGGGCACTACACTGAAAATTACATGCCATTGAGACAGCATCTGGAGGAGTTGGTGGCAGCCGGTCACCTAGATAAGTACATTGAAGGAGGGACGCAACCAGCCTCCCAGGACCATAATAACCCCAATGGAATTCCAATTGACGCCCCACCTCAAGGTGTGATCAATGTGATACATGGAGTATTCGAACCTGAGCGTGTATGCGAGCTCAGAGGGTCGATCAAGAAGGCTGAGCACTTAAGGGAGGTACTAAGTGCCCAACCTACCATCAAAAAGGGGAGAACAGAGGCCACGAACACCATGCCTTTTTCAGACAAGGACTTGGAGAGAATATATTGCCCTTACAATGATGCATTGGTCGTCACCCTCCGCATCAAAGACTACGACGTCAAGTGAATTCTGATACGAACCTGAGCGTGTATGCGAGCTCAGAGGGTCGATCAAGAAGGCTGAGCACTTAAGGGAGGTACTAAGTGCCCAACCTACCATCAAAAAGGGGAGAACAGAGGCCACGAACACCATGCCTTTTTCAGACAAGGACTTGGAGAGAATATATTGCCCTTACAATGATGCACTGGTCGTCACTCTCCGCATCAAGGACTACGACGTCAAGTGAATTCTGATAGACCAAGGTAACTCGTGTGAGATAATGTACTACGACACCTTCAAACAGCTGAAATTGGAGGACAAAGACCTGGCACCAGCTGTATCCCCCCTGATTGGATTCAACTCAATGACAGAATGGCCAGTCGGCAAAATTATACTGCCAGTCAGGGCAGGAAGCGTGACAAAACAAGTGGAATTTTGGGTGTTGAAGGTCCCTTCCACTTACAACATAATTTTGGGAAGAACATGGCTCCATGCCATGAAATCAGTAGCATCATCCTACCATCAAGTAATGCGGTTCCCTAATGAAGCCGGAGTAATTGAAGAGGTCTTTGGAGATCAAATTATGTCCAAGCAATGCTTTGTCACGGTTAATGGCAGCCACGCTGCCAAGGGATATGTTCACTCAGTGGAAGAACCTGAGAGCAATGAACTATTCGCAGATGTCGGCAAAGCAGCTGATCAAAAAGCGGTGGAAGATTTGGTAGAGGTAAGAATAGATGAACAGAACCCAGATAAGTTCTTTTTGCTCGGTTCATTGTTGTCCAGCACCGAGAGATTAGAGGTCTTGGAATTCTTAACCTCTAACATCGAAGTGCTCGCCTGGACACCCTACGACATTCCAGGCATTGATCCAAACTTCATCTGTCACCAACTCAATGTCCACCCATCCGCCAGACCAATCATTCAGCGCACTCGTAGATCGGCACTCCACTACGCTGAAATAGTGGCGGAAGAAGTGGGAAATCTACTAGAGGCAGGAGCTATCAGAGAGGTGCACTACCCCAGATGGATTTCCAACACAGTCGTGGTGCCAAAGAAGAATGGAAAATGGCGTGTTTGCGTCGACTATAAGACAGTCAACAAAGCATGCCCAAAGGACAGCTTCCCCCTACCACGGATAGATCAATTGGTAGACCTAACGGCGGGACACAACCGACTTAGCTTTCTTGATGCATACAGAGGCTACCATCAGATCACCATGCACGAACCAGACCAAGAGGTCACGTCCTTCACAACTCCAAGAGGACTGTATTGTTATAAGGTCATGCCCTTTGGCCTAAAGAACACAGGGGCAACATTCCAGAGAATGGTCACCAAGATGCTTGAACCGTTGTTAGGCAGAACAATGGAGGCTTACATCGACAACGTGGTGGTGAAGAGCAAGGATGAGAACGACCATCTAAAGGACCTAGGTGAGATGTTCCAGATTCTAAAAAGGCACAAGTTGTGCCTTAATGCATCTAAGTGCGCGGTCGGTGTAGGATCTGGCAAATTCCTGGGCTTCCTAGTGACCAACCAGGGTATAGAGGCAGACCCCTCCCAGATCAAAGCTATTCAGGATCTGGAAAGGCCTAACTCAGTAAGAGAAGTGCAGCATCTCACCGGCATGGCAGCTACACTCAACTGCTTTATTAGCCAGTCGTCAAACAGACTATGACCATTTTTTCAAGCATTAAAGGCCAAGTTCGAGTGGGACGAAGAATGCGACCGCGCACTGGAAAACTTGAAAGAATACATGTCTTCTCCACCACTGCTTGTCACCCCAATACTTGGAGAAGAACTGTTCCTGTACCTGGCAATCTCTCAGCACGCAATTAGCGCAGTGTTGGTCTGTGCGGAAGGAATCCAACATCTGCCCATCTATTATGTCAACAAGACATTGCTGGGTGCCGAAACAAGGTATTTGCCACTAGAAAAATTGGCCTTAGCCTTAATGATGGCATCAAGGAAGTTGTCGCACTACTTTCACGCCCACACCATAGTTGTCCTCACAGCTTTCCCATTAAAAGCTCTGTTTGAAAGGGCGAACTTTTCTGGGAGAATCTTGAAGTGGGCAGTAGAGTTGGGACAATTCGACATCAAGTTCCAACCTAGAACCGCAATAAAAGCCCAATC